GAGAGTCCCCCTGCCCCCCACCTATCGACGCCCATGGTCGTATAAAGCATTATGATAGGAACAATGAAAGTGTTGACATGGGGCCGAGTTGACTTGGGGCCGAGTTGACTGAGGTCGAGTTGACTTGGGGCCGGGTTGGTTCATGGGCCGAGTTGCATGGTTAAGGGCCGAGTCGGTATGGCCCAAGTCGGTTAAGGGCTGAGTTGACTTGAAGCCATCTGCAGTATAGTAGGCCTACACTCTCTACTTACCTATGTATATTTTCTTACTTAGAAGAAACTCCATTCCAAAATTCAATATTTCAGAAGATGTTTTTGCGACGACGTGTCTAAACAGTTGCGGTAGTTCACATACACGCTTGTTTCTACCGTAATTTAGATATTATGAGACAGGTGCACAACTCAGGCATCTAAATGAAAATTGCTGCAAAGGACAGGCCTTACCAGGCTAAACCTACAAATTATTAGTTCAGTGCTCACGCCTTATTAGGCCCAAAAAATAATTATTACCGTAGTTTATCACCCCGGCCTATCAAAGAATAAAAATTGATGAGGGAGGGAGTTTTTTTTTTTTTTTTTTTGCTTTTGCTAACCCCGTCCCCATTTTACCGATGTTCACAAGTAAATCAATGGTTAGGGACACATATATAAAAAGTCATAAGAATGGAATCAAATTTATATTTAAAAAATATATTTTTGATGTACCAGTAAACATATTTGCAAGAAATCCTGAGCTTTTCAAGTGAAAAAAGATAGAAAAACGACCGTTTGAAATAAAAATATATGTTGATAGAAAACTAATAATTTTTTGTATGTGGCTTTAGCGTGCAGTCCCGAATTGGTCTAGCACAACTAAATGAATGAATGAATGAATGAATGAATAAATAAATAAATAAATGCCTGCCTCGAATAAACACCTCCCTCGAATAAACTCCCCATCAAAAACCATTCTCAACAATAAAGCCTCAGGGCGTTTATTCGACGAAATCGTCCGGTACCAAAATAATAATTGCCTATCCATATAACGTTATTTTGATTGTCAATTTCTAATATTGTGGTTAAAAACCCCCCCAAAAAACTCCCAACGCGAACATATGGATTTTTTTATGCCGGGACCCTGACATAGGCTCTAGTCAGCCCATTGATCGGGTGTATAATTGTAGATTATTATTATTTATTTATTTATTTTATTTAAGTATACATATTATTATCTTAATTAAAATTTATGCACTTATTATAAATATGCTTATATAGACATTTTATCTGACAGGCCTATTTATTGAAAGTTTTTGCTGATAGCTAAATTAAGTTAGGATTTACAGAATAACACAAAACCAATCATTAAACTGAAATAAGCAGTTATTTATTATACGAATAAACAGAGATCGCATCGTACTTGGCATTGCAAGGCTTCTAAATTCTCAAGTTCGCAATTCTGGAATTTGCCTCTTTAAATAGACATGTAATAGATAGTTTATTTTTTTCCCCGATAAATCATGTAATTTTCTTTCTTCTTTGAGAGTTGAAAAGAACAATTTCCAATATGGATGAATAAATAAATGTCTATATATCTATGCCCTTACTTTTCGCTGGCTCCACCAGTTCGTACAGGCGCAGTCACGGTAAAAGAGTGCTCCGTCACGAACGTTATACTGTTTTTAATGTTTCACTGCTTTTGATTGAATTTTGGCAAACTGGGTTTCGGCGAAATAGGATTTCGGCAAAGTGGACTAGGCAATCTGGGATTCGGCAAAACAAACTGGATTTCGACAATATGTATACGGATATTTCGATAGCTTCTGCTATCTTCATTAACGTTAAAGTGAGAAAATTTCGGAGATCTTACACAATATATTGTAATATAGTAAATAATAATAATAATAATAATAAATTAATGTTTATATAGCGCAGAATGCTGCAATTCTCTATGCGCTTTGCATTAAAAGTAAAAGCCGGATCAGAATAAAAGAAAAAAATGAGCGAAAATCTTTGTGTAATTAAATCAACAATCGGAAATCTTGAATAACAGGTTAATTTTATGATAATTTTTCCCTCCTTTTTTGTTGTTAAAATGAGAAAGACTGAGTGTGAATTCAATGTAAGATCAGTGTAGGTAGCTTGGTAAATGAAGATTACGTAAATACAGTAACAAGTGTACAAACACAGGTATATATATATAAAACATCATTTTATCTTCTTGTATTTCAACTTAAAATCAATAAGAATGTGGCTCCGTACTAAATCTCATAATTATATTAATAATAATGCTGCCATCAAAATAACAACAATTTAATGCTAAAGTATTTATAATATGTTTTGTTAATTCATCAGTGGCGGATTCAAGGGGGTCCCAGCCAGCCCACCCCCTCTCAATTGTTGAAAAAGTTTTTAAAAAATGGAGATATAAAGAAAATTATATTTAAATTTTAAGTCTGAAAGTGCAATTTCTGGCCATCTAGATGTGCCATAATCACTAATTTTATTACCTCATCCAGTGGTGGCTTTTAGACCACAATAATAGGGATTAGCAATCAAAACGACGTTATTTGGACAGGCAAATTAATTTTTTTTTTATATTCTTAGGTCCGACGACCAATTCGTTAGTCCGACGACAGGGGGTCCAGGCCTGTCCCCCCGCTGGCGCTACCACTGCCTCAGCCCTAAACATGGTGGTGCCGATGTGGTATAGATCCTCCATCTGTGAAAGTACCCCCTCTATTTTGAATTCCTGGATCTACCACTGTTCATCCATTTACCATTTTAACAGAGGGTTAACAACTTAACACTGCAAATCATTTGGGATCCTCACACTATTCAATGAAGGCAACAAGAAGGCTACGAAAATAGGCCTCAATACAATACAGACTTCTGTATGCGCTATGAAATTTAAACCAGAAAATACAGTTGAATTTACCAACATTTGTGTATTTTCTTTGTTTTAAAAACATGAATTCAGATTCTATACTTACACATTAGAGAAATGTCACATTTTACAAAACGTTGGCACATTCAATGTACTTTTTGGTTTAACATAAAAAGAACAATTTCATAATACTAAATATACTGTAAACTAAAAATGTTCAAATAATTATATCATTTAATAATATAGTAATAATATTAACTAATACTACTGTAAAACCTCAAATAGAAGCCCAATGGGTTTAATCTTGAGAAGAAACCAACATCTTTAGTTTGTAAATTAGCCTTGAAAACAAGCCCATCTCGAAAAGAACCCGTAGCATGGGCTTTTTTTTTTCTGAGATAGTACAGTATATGCACTGTACAGTACATGAATTTCAGAGTAACAAAATAAATTAAAAACATGCCTGGTTTATACAGTATTTTAGGTGATTTAATACTGGTTAATACACTCCATGATACAGATTGATGTTACAGTTGCCCTATTTAATGTTTTATAATAGAAATTTATAAAATTCACAGCATTCATTTTGAAAAGAAGCCTCTATTTTTACTTTGCAAAAGTAGCCTCGAAAAGAAGCCCATCTCGAAGGAAAGTCCATCCTGAAAGGAATCCCACCTCGAATAGAAGTCCATCCAAAGTTTGCAAAAAAAGAAGCCCAGGGCTTCAATTTAAGGTTTTACGGTATATTAGTTGCTTATATTAAGCAGTGGTGTATCTAGGGGGTGCACACGCTCCCAAAAATACTTGAAACCCCCAGTTTCCCCTCACATAAAAATCCCACTCAAGTAGTTAAGTCACCTCATATCACCTTATTTTGTGAGCTAGCATCTCCTCACCTAACCATCGACCCCCCACCACTTCATCAACGAGGACCCTCACACCCAATCAGCCGTCCATTTTAAGATTTCCAGATACGTCACTGGTTAGCTAACTACTTACTAGCTTTCAATTGAAAAATAAAACAAGAACATCTTATTGGTTAACAGATCATAAATACATATGTAATAACCCTCCTGTACTCTTTGCAAATACCACTTACTTGTAGAATTCCTAATTTAAAACCAAGTAAAAGTATACACACTGCTATGTTTTGTTCCACTATCAGCTTATGTTTGTCTGGCAACGAAGCTGACAGTACATAGCAGAGTACGTACACTTTTACTTGGTTTTTAATCTAAAGAAATCTACAACTTACATTAAAAACCTAATGAAATTATCCGAAGCCCGTTGGCTGTTTAAAATGATTTTTGTAGTAGAAAGTCAGTATATCAGTAAAAAATTTAATTGTTTTGAACTATATCTCATTGAAATTTTGTGGGGTTTCCCCAATTCTATCTAAATACAAATATTTTCAAATTAGCTATTTAATGTTTTAACTGAGAGATGTTTTTCCAGGATTTATCATAACAGTAGGTTAACATTAGGTTATTAGTCAGGTAAAATGTGTAAAACAAAACACTGGTAGCTGCACTTTATTGAATAACTTTTAAATTATTTAATACACAATCTTTTACCAACAGTCTAGCTTCATCAGGAGCAATCAAAATGCAGTTAATTAATTCAGAGGGGTTTGGTGAAGCAGTTGTGGTTCTGTTTCTCAACCTTGAGGTTGGAGGTTCAATCCCTCGCTGTGCATTTCCCTTGTGTTCTGATTACAGCTGCAACGTTGTGGAATTCACCCTAGGGAGCTGGGTATGTGTTCAATGCCGGGACAGATGACTGGCAATAAATAATTATAAAGTGCTACTTGCATTTTACACAGATATTATAACACGAAGCATATAAATAACTTTAAACTAATAAAGATGGTTGGATACAAAAAACAATTTTTAAATATATAATACATGCAGACACTAAGCGTGTTTGTTCTTCATTCTGTTCAGTTGCACTCGTAACGAATGAGAACGATTCAACAGCCGCTGCGTTCTCTCAGATGCTACAAGTGGCAAACGCTTACTTGACTTGTACAGACTCTGAAAAACAGTAAAAGAAAAGATTTCATAATTAAATAATGTTTTATGTAATATATTTATCATCAAATGTGTAATTGTGAGAGAATAGTTGAGTCGGCTAACCACTGAACCATGGGGATCTCTAGGTCCCCAGTTCAATTCCTATTTCTGCTCTCCTTGTGAACGCTGTAAACTCTTTGGAAAAGAGGAAGGGATTGTCTGCTGGTGTACTGCCCAATCACCACCAGAAGGACCTCACTCAACTTGCATGGGTTATCCTTGGTGTGTGTCACAACGAAGAAATCCAATCCAATAATAAAATGTTATTTCTGGCTAATTAGCACACCCGCCGCCACGAATAAAATGGAAATTTCAGAAAAACACAAAACTTTTCTTCATTTTTATAATGCCCGAATGCCCGTTGCTGCCTTAAAAACTCCAAAAATAAGATATGTAAAATTCTTCCTAATATATAAATTTATAGCATTTAACCATCACATTATTGCACTGTTTACATTCACCAATAAAGCTTTATTTTTATTTTCTCCTCCACCTGGATATTTTTCCACCCTCCTCTGACAATCTTTAAAATAGTAAGTTTGCAAAACACGGTATAAAAAAAGTTTTGCCTAATCAATATAACACTTTAATTAGGTATTCCTTTTCCCTCTTCTTCTGATTTATTTCTGGCAGCTGCCTTCTAATTTCTCTCCATTTCATTTCTTTACAATAATTTTCTGGGAAGTGCAATTGGAATACAGTTTTATTGCTCTTTGTACATTTATTGGAATTTTGTGTTCAGTATTCATAAGCTAAATGTTCAAGCTAGTTCTCATTATGACACTGAAATGTGTTTTTTAACACTTTTAAAAGCTATTTATCTAGAAATCAAATTAGATCAAAAATAGCTCAAAAAAACAGGTTCCAAAACTGATAAGCAAAACTATGCCAGATTATCATATCGTCCATTTCCTTGTTTCTGTTCACATCAAAAATAAGTGGCACGTAGTATTTTAGAGCCAGTGTGAGTTGGGAACTGCAAACACTGATGGCTTCAAATAGATAAGGCTAACAAACATGACAAGAATATTGGAAACAAATTTAATGAAAATAATTGGAGCATAGAAGTAGATAAAAGATGGAGAAATTAGAGATATCTGTTTGATAACTGGGGCAAAGCGAATTCTATTTTACAAGTTGAAGAGAACATTGGATGCAGAATGTTTTAACATTATATGGACAATGTAGGTCTACAAGCAATAATAAAGCAGTAGTTGAAAGTCGGAATTTTGAATGAAGACAGTGTTAAGTTAAAGAAACTAAAAACAGGCACTATAACCAGCAGGCAATACAGTGTAAAACAGTTTGGAAGCAGGAAATACACTGAGAAAGTGACAACGTTTAAGTAAAAAAAACAGCAGACAGGCAGACAGCATAGTGAGGTGGCAACACATTTTAGAATTTTGAAAACAGAAGACAGGGTCAGCAGATGACACAGTATACAGAAATTTGAAAGCCGAAAATAGGCTTAGTAGACGACACAGTATACAGAAGTTTGAAAGCAGAAAATACGGTTAGAAGACACCATAGTGTAAGAGAAAGAAGCTTTGATAGCAGACAATACAATTAGGAAGCAACACAGTGTCAACATTTGAAAAGCAGCATAGTGCAGTTAGCAGACACTGAAGTGTAAGTGGAATAAATTTATAAAAGCAGGTTTATATAGTGTACTGCAAACAGAGTGTATGAAATTTTGATAGCAGGCAATATAGTTTAGTAACAAGTACTGTAAATGAAATAAACATGACTCGTCTCAAGATCAATTTCCTTTTTGTCATTCTATTAACGATGCAAATAGTTCTAACAACATCGACTAATAGTTGCAAAGAGATAGGCTTGAATATCTCCATGAACATAGAACTTGAAACCAATGGATTAACAAAATGGGAAAAATGCGACGAATCAAATGAAAGCGGTGTCTTCACCTGCCCCCCCAAAAATATATCCATCAGCATTTGCAGTGATGAAAATCTAATAATATTTACGCAGCAAAGCTTCATTCTTATGATTTGCTTAGCAATCCCGGGTTTATTGGCAGTAGTTCTCATTCCTTTTACGCTTGTCTCAAAATATTTCTATCGAAAAGGAAATAAATCTGAGATTCCGCAATTGAGTTTGAAAACTACAACGTATCGAAGACATGACACAGAACCCACTGATCTGGAATGCGCAGGAGAGGAAAGCCCACAGCACCGATTATCCATGGTTGCAAACATCCTGAAGGAGCCAGACAATTCAAGTGATGCAAAAGAAGAAAGCAATATTACAGAAACAGATAAGCGAGTTCAAAGTTGGCAGAACAAAGAAGAGGTACACTTAGTAGCTCAGTCAATTGGTGAACAGGTCATTGTAGATGACTTTACCAAATTTAACTTTGCACAATTAGAAGGCGAAAACTGCTCACTCAATGAAAACAGCAACCAAGATGATTATTCATCTATTCCTGCTAACTCAGACTGTTCATTGGACGATGAGAACTATGAAATGATCCCAGAATATGAGAATTTTAATCCTGGGGAATTGTCGAGCAGCACAAGTTACAATAGTATTGAAAGTCTTGCAAACATTTACGAGACTCCAAAAAACAATGTGCGACCAGTGCAAATGGTGCAAGCAGGGACAGTGTGCACCATGCCAGAAAGACTGCCATGTGATTTTGGAACATTTCGAAAGCTTAACACTCCTAACCACAATCAATTTCAGAAAAGCAGTTTTGTGGGTGAATGTAAACGGACAATGTCACTTAACCAACTCCAATCGTACCCTGTCAAGGAAAACCAAATGAATCCATTATTACCGTCTCCTCCTCCACTGCCAAATAAGCACAGCATATTACAAAACAAAGCCGGATGCAGATTGGGAAGATCTTACACAAACGTGAGCGAAATGCGTTTACTGCACTCACAATTTTGTGTTGCAAGCCCTCATGGATATGTTGAGAAATTCAGGAAACAGGATGAAACTTACGAAAATTGCAGGAAGGAAACTGATGGACAATGGAAAATCAAGGATAGGCCACCGGCTACATTCCCGAAGCCAAAGACCAAGACACAGACAAGTTTAACCTTGCCCTCCAAATTTAAAGAACATAATTTTGACAGATACAGCAACACGGGTGATTACTAAGATTGCAGCTCCATTGCAACACCACTCTTTGTATAATAATAACAATAACAATAACTAGCATATACCAGTGCTTTGCACGGTGTTGAATGAGTGGGGAAAGGTGGCAATGTATATTGTTGAATGTTACGGGAAGTTGAGGAGGCAATTGTTGTGTATGTTATGGTTACCATGTCATTATTTGTCTAAGAGGATGTCTTTGTAGTTAAGGTTTTGAGTGTGTTTCAATAGTCCTTGTGAGGAATTATTGTACAGTTTGATCATGGGTGGATCCAGAATTCTTCAAACGGGGAGAAGGGAGGGGAAAAAGGCTGAGCTTATATCTTGTGCCCAGTTGTATCTTAATTTTTACCTGATCGAATTCTAAAACATGCTGATGTTTTGCGCCATAAGCCTACAGTAATATCCAGTATTAAATGCAATGGGTACTCCGAAGTGGTACGGGAACATCCTGCTCTTTATTTTGTTGACGTGAGAAGCATGCACTGCGTGGTGATGTAATGAAGCTGTGAAACATAGACTGGTTCTCTTAAGAAATTTTAGACTTTTTCTTTTAATATTAATAATAATAATAATCATCATGTGCAACTATACATATCAATTGTTTAGGCTGTTTTGACCATGTAACAAAAAACAATTTTAATACTGTGCGCGTGTACGAAAGGCAAAAATGAACAGATTGAGCGTGCTGCACTGTGCAATGGTTGGACGATTTCATTATCCAAAAAGGGTATATAAAAATGCACTTTATTAAACAATCAATTATTCGTGAAATAAAAATACATTCCCAATCTATTCATAACACTGTAAAAATAAGGTAAGTTCATTATCAAGCATATTCATTTATTAATTTTAACAAGTCTTTGATACAGTATGTACCATATTTTCATCAGTTCAGGAAATGGAACATGCCCAGACCCCTGGGCTGGCTGTGAGCTCAGTCATATTTTCTTTTTGAAAGCCTTTGAAAGAATGCAAAAATGATGGAAGAAAATTTATCCAATGAGATTATTTTTAATATATAACTGAAGAAAATTGCCTTTCTGTTTTCCACTTTAACCTAAGCAAATGGGTTGGTGTATGCAAAGTTATGACATTGTAAATAAACGACTCCTCATAAGCCAGCTCAAATCCCGCTGAAAACACAATAATGTTTCAATGACTTGAAGTTTCCGTACATTTTCTGGCATATTATCTGCTTACAAGACATTACTTGGAACTATCGTACTCAAAATTAACTATAAGCTGCATTATATAGTATTTTATATTGTAATGTTTGTATGCAAGCAACAAACCTTCTGAACAGGATTAATAAACTTTTTATGTTACCTTATCTTAATAGTATAGGCTTGGAACTCATATTCTGTGAATGTAAAGTTATTTTTATCTCAATGGTAAGAATGCTTTATATAGATCTGTAATTCTAGAATAGATTGTCACTAAAGTTTGATCTTACTTCCTTGTTTTGATTTCAATATTATAACAATATAAGCTATTTTTTTCAAATGCAAATAAACTTATAAACAAACTAATCTAAAAATAAGTTTGGTTTCATATTTGCCTAAGTTGTATTTATAATATATGGAAAGTTAAAACAAGGAAATTAAACAGCACATCTCTGCACGCTAACATGATGCAAAAGTCATGCCCTTTGACTTATAAAATAAAATAATAAAAAAGAAATTTTATTTATGATGAGCATGTTACCTCATTGCCAACAGTTCCCTCTTTCAGAATCTGAGGTCGAAGGGCATCTTTGAGGTCAATGTTTGTTGCCATTGGTAACATAGATGGCCGGCTATTTTCCCATCCAGCTAGGCAATGCTGATTAATGAAAGTGTATAAATTTGGTCAAAAAATTATAAAAATATATAGCAACTTTAACTCTTTGAACCCGGAAAAACAGCCGCGCGCTTATGCTGCAATAACCTGAAAGGCCGGTATACCGGCTTTGCGGGTCAGTTGACCTTATTCGGGGTAATCACCTGACCAGTATGAGTAATATGACGTAATTTTGTGACATCATCATTCCCAAGTTGTTCTGACAGCTCATAGGTGTGGATTTTTTAAAAAAAACATATTTATATTGAATAATTTGACAATGAATGCCAACGATGCTTTACGATTGATACTTGATGACTCCCAAGAAAATATTGATGATGACGATTATACAGGAAGCAATTGGAAAGTGAGAGTGAGGTAAACAGTGTAGTTTCTAGCCCTAGGCCTTCAGATCAAGATAGTGCTAGTGCCGGTGGTAGAGATGATAATTTTGCCATCGGGTTGGTGGATGGCTATGGTAGTGGGCCTAGCAATAGTAGCAACACCGTGGAAGAGGTGGTGGTGATGATTGTAATAAAAAAAAGCATATTTTGTCCAAATAACTCAGGGTGAGTGTGCCGCAAGATGTAAATAATGCAGGGTTCAAAGGGTTAAAATGAACATTAATTCTAGTATATTGACCCATGTTCATCAGTGTATTTTTTAAACAATACACCATAAGCCACTATTTGAAATTCATTTATGTTTCATTGTCTTAAAAACATAAAATCAAATAAAAACCAATTAATTTAAGAATGTCACTAGACCTCACCTGTGAAAGTCCTAATGCATCAGTTGCATCGAAACTGCGCCTTCTGTGAGGGCGCAATTTATAAGGTGAACGAAGTGTTGACCGAGGAATACTGACCCTATATAAAAAAGAAAAAAGTAGACAATAGACTAAAATGAGGGCGCTATTGGTTGGAGACAAGTGGATCATGATTATTACCACACTGGAGGCAAAGAGTACAGACTTGCAAGAGGTTCGACTGCCCTGATTTTGTATGCATACAATGAAACGTTGAAAAAAGTACTACCACACGATGGGGGGGGGAATCTTATTAGAATTTGAATAAAGTTTGAAACTTGAAACTCTTTTGAAGGACGCCCTCTAGTACTTTTGAGATAGGTAGTACTTCTTGAGATAGAACTGTGTTCCAACAAAACCCCTCGAGTCATACCTCTATACTCTTTGACTGAGGTGATCTGTATTGATGGCAGAAGCATAAAGGAAGGAGGAAAGTATGGCAAGCACCCCAAGTAACCAGGGCCCCTAGGTTAAAAAAAGGATGATAACAAATGTTATTCATTTTGAACAATCTACAATCAATCAATTACAATCTATTAAATCAGACATAGTAAATGTCCGAAAATCCCTCCCCCACCCAGACCCTCCTCTCCATTGGGGCCTGCCAGCTACATCAGCTGCAAAATAATTGTTTGCTGTAAAATAAATTTAACTCTACCCCAGAGCCTCACAAAAAAGTCTTAGAGCAACAATTAATGCTCCATACGGTAAGCTATGTAACATCAATAAAAAGGTAGTACAGTAAATTAAAGTACTTCTGGTACCTTATGTAAGAAGGGGATCCTCTCCTAACTTGAGCAGTTCGAGATTCATGGCATATTGGGCAAGTACTCTCTCCTTCCTGGTTGCTGTGGACCGGTACGACGAAGAGGCGATTGTTGAGAGTAAAATTGTGTAGACCTGGAAAGATCCAATATAGAGAGCAGCTTAGCTCAGTCGGCTAATCTGGTGGTAGCCACTGTGTGTGCGCTGAACCGTGGAGATCTCTAGGTCCCCGGTTCAATTCCTATCGCTGCCTCTCCTTGTCGTTCACTACCGCTTTTGAGGCGACTGAAAATAAATTTACGTCACATCCAAAATTTTGGCTGTAGACATGCTAGACCGGCGTGGTAGACAAATCGCGGGTGAAGCCGCACGTCTCTCTTGATAGCTTTTAATTTTTAATGTGGCTTAGCTATTTTATTCTGCCCTTGTTGGACTTCGTTTGCATTTCAATTTTTATTTCTTTTAAATAATAATAGCTGGTTGCTTGTAAATAATATGCAATTTAGGGAAAAATCCCTACAATATATTATATGGCAATATGAGTAATTTTATATTTATATTTTTGAATAAAAATGAATGAATGAATGAATGAATGAAAACGATTTCTGATCATTAACGATTTTCCAACGGTCCCCACCTGACATTGGGTGATGACGCCAATGTTCCAAATTCTGTGCGAAGACAGTCAGCTTGGGGCCCAAGATCCCGATTTATTCACTCCTCTAGGTGAAACTGTTTGTACCTTTTTTTTAGGTCCTGAAACATTGTTTAGATTTACTGCGCCGTCATCGGCGAGAGGCCTGGCACAAAAGAATATCTATCTGCGATTTTCTCGTGTATTTTTGTTCTGTGATTTCTTGTCTTCCACTAATATTCTAATCCTGCCCAAATCTCTATAAGTAACTGATTTCTTCCTCAGTCTACCAGGCCCGAGGGCCAGATACAGTTGAAGTTGACATGGATATTTAGGAATACCTAAATGAAAAATAACATACAACAGCCAAAACGTTCTTAACAGCGAATATTCACGCAAACAAGCTAACTATTTGGCCATGGAAAGATGCTTGTATCTGATTGGCTGTCACACAAAAGTGGTCACAGCTCACTGGCAATTAACTTGCAAGCGGCTGTTCACATGGATCGAGAGCAAACTGCATCAAGAGTCGATCGAGAGCGGCTTGTCGTGGGTCACCCACGACAAAAAGCGCACTTGATTGGTTGTTCATACGAAGGCCCGGCTCGCGAGCCGGTCGTCAGCTTGCGAGCGAGCTGATCGTCCGTTTGCGAGCGAGCTAAGACATGTGAAGGCGGTATTAATAAACAGCATAGAGATGTTTGATTAATTATGATAAGAAAAATGATTTAGACGATATTGATAAGGATCATGAACGATAATTATGATGTGATGACAATACCGTAAAGATAATTGATTAATATCATGACATTTAAGACAATGATTATGATCAGGGCTGGAAAAAGTGTGTGATCGTAGGACCAGCAGTCGGAGGCAGCATGAATGTCCCAGAGGCATTTTGGGGGGGAAAAAATTCAAAAAATAGACTGTTGGGCTATAGAGTGTACAGACAACATTTGGTGATGGAGGCATTTCATCAAGATATTTTCATGGTTGAAGGCACAAGCATTTTTTTTCCAGGCCTGATTATGATAATGAAGCATGATGAAAGATGATATTGTTAAAAACCAAGATAAATATGATCATGAGAATGATAGGATGATGGCAAATATAATTAGAAAATGCTTAAAACAAGTTAGATATTTAAAATGAAAGAAGGTTTGCATTATTATATGTGTATAAACAGTAATAAGATTTACAAGTATGGAGAATCCTTACATTGATGTGTGTCAGTGGGATGTGTGATGGTTGATCTTGGCAGCCCAGTAATCATCGTGGAAGACTTGTTCAAACTATAAAGAATAAACTAATACAATTATATCAAGCAATAGTGGGAAGCAGACATAATATCTGTGATATACTGAATATCTGTAATACCGCCCTCTATTGAGGTGCTGTACAGGACAAAGTCCCATTGATCAATTTTCTAAGTAATTTATAAGATATATTAAAATAGCACCTTCAATTATGAGGTAAGGACTTTTAACCCCTGCTGTGAATTTTGCTAAGTGTCTTTAGGTCAGGCAGTCTTTCTCCTCCCAGGGGTATTATTGGGTACCTGGTAGGATGTTGTGGCATTGCATGCATGCATTGGTCTATTGGTTGTGCACATTATGTATTGTTTGTAGGATGACTACAGTAGTATAATTCCTAGGGAGCAGACAAAATTGCATTTTGTACCCATTTTCCTATTTTAGATCCAGTGAGCAGGGGATAAAACAGGCCTAACGGTGCATTGCCTCTTACAACATTGTGCTGCTTGAGAAGTACTCCCTCTAAGAAAAAAATGCTTTATGAACGAGTTTCACAAATTGTATCTACTTGCGAGTCATTTTGTTACTTGTTGATATTTTTTGTTCATGCATTTTCTTTACCTTTCATCAGTTTGTCTGTAGACGCAGTCCTCCTTATTCACTCTACGGAAGTCTTTCAACTCATCAAAAAAAGCATCTGACCTCTCTGAAATGGTGTCTTCTGCATCAAGCAAACCAGCTATCCAATCATAGCCTAGCAATGGTTGGACTCTTCCACTTCGGTCAAGATGTGATTGGTCTAATGTTGTGTCATGCTATCACCTTATCAAAGAATAAAAACTGATGAGGGAGGGAGGTTTTTTTTTTTTTTGCTAATCACTCCCAAATTTTACCGATGTTTACAAGTAAATCAATGGTTAGGGACACATATATAAAAAGTCATAAGAATGGAATCAAATTTATATTTAAAAATTATGTTTATGTTGTACCAGTAAACATATATCAAGAAATCCTGAGCTTTTCAAGTGAAAAAATATGGAAAAATTACCGTTTGAAATAAAAATATATGTTGATTGAAAAAAAAAAAAAAAATCAGAATTTTCTCAAAAGTGATGAGGGAGGGGGTGATAAACTAATATTTTTTTTTTATGGGGCCCAACAGAGATTACCTACTAGGCCTATATAAACATGAAAATATTTATTAGGCCTAGCTAGTCGCCTATCGCATCAGCCTGCATGATGGCATTCCATTTTAATGTGTTCCATTAATCACGGCCGAAACGGTTTGCGGTCGATCGTCAACCGACCTTAAGCTAGGCAGGCCATGGCTAGGCCTAGCCTAGCTCTCAGACTTAGCCTAGATCTACCGTTGGACCACCATCACTGGTCTATACATTGTGTATCCTCTTCACTCTCTTAAATATTCTTAGCTATAGTAAAGTAGTGAGGCAAAGCCAAAGGCTAATTAAACTTACTTATTTTATTTTTTGACCATGTTTACTTTCGTTGTCAGTCGTCGATGCATGCATTGCGTGTGTATTCAAATTTTGCTGACCTCTATCTAGGTCATGTAAACAAAAGGGAGGATTGGCGTATCGACGAGAGATCGGTGCATTATATTTATAGGTAAGCATAGTTGTTTGTGTGCAATTTATTCTATTTAATACAATATATATAAACCAAAGTTGTGTGGAAAATTAATTTAGATAGTATTTCATTAACAATAGGCTAATTAAATATATGCAATAAATAGATACTAATATTGCATATGGATATTCATTTAATCAAATGTTTGGATGTCTTTATTCTTTACCCGTTCTTCATTGTACACGCAAACCAAAGTGAGGATGATGTTGGATTATTAATTTTGAGAGTTTGTTGTTCAATTAAAAAGGGTGTGTGTAATTAAGCATACGATTTCAGTTAGTATCAGATTTGCATTTACTTTATAACAATTACCCTACAATATTATTCCATTGGAAACACTTAAACTGCTCTCGTTACGTCGTCTTCAAGAAGGTTAATCTCTTTAAATTTTATCTAGGCCTAGCCTAGGCCTACTATAGGCCTCATACACTACGTACGATAGCCAAGCTCTAAATTTTACTTTTTAGGCTACAGGAGTCGCAGTCTAGCACTAGTAAAGTGTTCTGATGCGCCGTGGTACCGGTGAACCGGCCAGTTACTCTAGGCCTCCTGCTCAAACTGACAGAGACGTGTCTGAAAACAACCAGAGAAAAGGTATGCATTTCGTGAACAATTCTCGGACACGTCCCAAGACTAGACCTCGTCCAAAATCCAATGATAAAAACCTTTTAGTTAATGTTCTTCGATGGAAGCTACTTCGGTGCCTGATCTTATTGATAGTTGTGTTTTGTATATTGTATGGCATTTTCGTATATACTGGACCCACCACTGGGAAAGACATTCATGGACATGATCGTTACCTGCCCAATGAAGCCATTAGCTTTGTACATGGAGATCATATGGATGTTATTCACATAGAGCATCGTGGAGGGCAAGTGGGTAACCAAGCCAAGTTACCACAGGCTCCTGGGTTCGTACCACCTCAAAATCAAGAGCAATTTGTCGGTAAGGGTTTACCACAGTCAAATAATTTGGGCCAGAATCAACCAAAACATGACATCCAACAACCACCTGGTGATGTTGCAAACCAGGGACAGAACTTGCTGCAGCAACCACCTAACGTGCCCCTAGTCCTGCCAGACAGCACAGGAACTGGTGAGTTCCCGTACCACGTCATTCAAAGTCTGACCAACACCGATAAAAGACCGCACTTGAAGACTCGCTTTGAGGAGTGCATGATATCAATACTGGACAAGTCCTCTGTCAATCTTCATTTCTTCTTTGTTGTGGATAAGCCAAGTAAAGAGGCAATTATGAATATTATGCAAGACATAACAAATAAGAGAATTGCTATTTCCAAATTTCAGGTAATTGTATTTTATTATTACTAGTGTGCTTTATTTTTACGAACTTTTATAATTAAAATATTATTTTGCCTTAAGTTTGACAAGAGCATGTGACCTGTCTAAACATATTTACCAACCTGAAAGATTTGAAATGCGTGACTACATCAGTTGACGGGGGTTGATACATTTTTAAAACGGAGTGTTTGTCAACACTCCAATACTGGGTACATAAACAAAAATATTTTTAATAAAGCCACATACTATTTCAGTTCCAAAGTACAGTATGTTTAATTCGAGCTCCTGAACTATGTACACATACATTTCATTACTCAATTAAATGAAATGAATAGGCATAGTGATCAATTTTTAGTAACACAAGTGACTTAAGTACAGTATTCACGTACATACATCACATCATGACCATATTATAGGCACATCATATACGGGCACACTTGATGGTCTGGACAGAGCTTTATAGGTAGTCACAGGAGGTTTACATTTTTAACAGCCGACTGAGACTACAGTAAAGCAGTTTAGCTTAGTCGGCTAAACTGATGTTTGACTGTAGCCACCATGTGTGCACTGAACCATGGAGATCTTTGAATTGAATGCCCAACTACCAATAACGATGACATAATATCGACTGATTAGTAATAAAAGCTTCCCACATAAAATACCGGTAACTTATGTTTCGTGATTTAATTTTATCTTTTTTTACAGTTTAACTTTCTGGATGTTGATGAGCTTGCAAAAGAGCTTGCACCGATGGTATTGATGCTGCAGGAGCATGTCAGTGGAGGACATCCCTACTACGGTGATGCCATATTCTTTCTGTCAATTGCCATCCACCAGCATGTCATGCCAGAATATGTCCATCGTCTTATCATGCTTGACACAGACCTCATATTCAAGAGTGACATTAAACGGTTGTTTGACCACTTTGACCTCTTCAAATCCAACAACATCATGGGAATCGCCCACGAACAGCAGCCAGTATATCGTCACATGTTCTCATTGTACCGATCGCAGAACCGTGGAACACTTGTTGGCGATCCACCTCCAAATGGTTTGACTGGTTTCAACAGTGGTGTCCTACTTTTAGATTTGGATCGTATGCGTCGAAACACACTGTACCATTCGTACTTAGATGGGCCAACTACCAAGAAGTTGACAGAGAAATATCATTTTAAAGGCCACCTGGGAGACCAAGATTTCTTCACACTGCTTAGCCTTGATCATCCAGACTTTTTTCATGTGTTGCCTTGTAGTTGGAACAGGCAACTTTGTGTCTGGTGGCGTGATAAAGGCTACGCAGATGTGTTTGATCAGTATTTCAGTTGTCCTGGTAAAATTGATATTTATCATGGCAACTGCAACACTCCCATTCCTAAAATGCCTTAGTTAGAGTAATGCAACAGTCGACTGCAAATAGTACAGTAGTCAGTACAAGTATAATTTCATAGTTAAAAAAAAAATACCCAGCCAATTACTAAATTTATTACTATTAAAATACAGAAATCTATATTACCTTTAATGTAGTTTGATGGCAATTTACAACATTCCAATTAAACACCATTCCTAATCTAGAGGAGAATATGACATTTGTTTTGCAATGTACATTTCAATACTATTATTATGTAGCATATTTGTTTGAGAGTGTTGCAAGTTCTACTTATTGCTGCACATCACAGCATAGTGTGTTTTAATGTATGAGCGCATGGACTACACCATGTTCTTCTGGACTGTAGCCTCAAAAAGGTTGAATTATAAACAAAATAAGAGTATACAGTAGTCTTAATAAATTTTGAGGGTGTGGGAGGGGGGGGGGAGGGTTCTCAGCAGCATCTTTTAAATTTGTTAGGTATACATTTATTTTGTGTGTTATCTGTATACCCATGGAGGGTCCTTTATGGTATACCTTGTAGGTTATCTTGCCACCAGGGCAGATCCACTGTCCCTGGGTAGGGACACTGTACCACAGTTATTTAGTAATATTGAGGCTGCTAGTAAAAAATAATTTCAATAATTAGTGATGGCATTTTACTATATTGTAACTTTTAGGAATACATAATGAAATAATGTAAAATTATTTAAAAAATATGCACAAAAGATAAGCTATTATTGACCATAATTATTTTATTTGTTTTAATGCTATTCAGTAATATGATATTCAGAGGGGTCACTGTTTGATATTTTTAATTATGTATGCAACTTTTTGTTGTTAAAATTTGAATTCTAATTTTCAAGTAATAAAATGAAATGTTGTTTTAATATTTTTTTATCTTGCATTATAAAAATAGAGTAAGAGCAGTACAGTACTGTGTTTTGTGACAAGTAATTGCCGTATTTCCTCTGGTTTAAGCCCAACCCCCTTGAACCAGGGGTCCTAAGTTGGAAGCAGTTACTTCCAGGAGATCTGTGTAAATGAGCTTTCTTAGCTCATCCAATTATATTTTGCTGCTCTTGGTGATATCCATCGTCACTGACTTCCGTGAGACAAATAATAATAAAGGGGGCAATACAGTAGTAAAAGAATGCAGACGTAATTAATTTGTTGAAGATCGATTATTTTCTGGGACATTCTTGCTTGGTTGCGGGAGGCCGTCTATAATTCCCGGAGATTTGCGACCCCTAGTTGAACATAACATTGGTGGTGGTCTTATACGCGGGGAGCCCCCTGTTTGAACAAATGGCGATTTATTAGCACTGCATGATATTTTTTTTTGAGTACTGTATGTGGAAGTCATCAAATCACTTTTGGCTGAGGAAAGGCTGGTACATTTAAGCTTGCCTAAGTTGACTTTGCCCAACTAATATTTTCTAAGTCAATTTTATTTTACATGCCAAATTGCTGTGTTTTCCAGTTACAATGTGCAAGTCAAATTTTATCTAAGTCGAACAATTTTTCAATGACATTTAGGATTCGTCTTAGGCAAGTTCAACTGTACATAAAATTGGGTATAGGGTCTTGTATCAGAGGAACTAAGGTAATTAAATTTCAGTTAAATTTTTTTTTAATAGTTGGCATAAATAATATAATAAGCATAGTGTCATTTTTGAACTACTGTATTTGGAGGCTACCACTAGCATTATTTTTAGATACGTTGGTGATGGTAATTTAACAATAGTATTCATGTTTTATTCATTTTTTCTCTTAATCACACCAAGCCAGATATTATTTTGCTCATTGTTTCAGAAATTAATGTGAACCAATAGATTCCCTATGTTACTGGTATTTATTTATTTTTTGAGAATCCTAATACATTTAAATAGCTGGTGAAGGTAAATTTTTATACTATTTATAAGTAAATATATTTTTAGAAATACAAGAATGCTAGGTGTGTGTATATTAATAATATGCTGAATATATTTTGTACATATACTGTACTACTGAAAACATAATAAATTGATCACAAACATAATCTTTTGACTGTTTTATTTTGAATTATTGTAAATATACAGTATCCTCAACCGGTGTTTGTGTGCAAACAACATAAAATTTGTATTTTCTAAATATAGCAGGGGTTCCATGATGTAAGAAGCCACTTCACAGGAAGATGTGATTCAACAAATGTTTTCTTATATTTTGCTGCAAATGGTGATAGCTATGTCCAGCAACAATTGATAATATATTAGTAAAAACATGCAATTATCATGAACTTGCAGGTGGGTTAAACTCCAGAATATTTTTGCAGATGTCCCAAGTCTCCCAGAACTCACGGGGGTCTCCCGGAAATTGGGACGGCCTCCCGCACTCCTGCATGCAAGCAAGAATATTCCGGAAATTAACCCATCTCCGCAAATACATAATTTTGCATTTTTTCACCGTTACCAATTTTCTCACAAAATTCATTGTCGATGGGTATCACTATGGAGCAGCATAAAATTAAATGTGTTAGGAAGGCTTATTAACCAGATTAGTGGCGGATTCAAGTACAGGGGGCTGTCGGATGGCCTGGGCTCCCTAAATATTTCACAATTAGGCAAAAAAAAAAAAAGGCGTAGAAAGAAAATCATATTCAACTTATTCTGTAAAATAAATGTTAATTCCTTGATTTTGGAAATTAGCATAACTGGCTAAGGTAACACACTGCACAAATGCAATGTAGCCAAAAGCACTAAATTGTAATTGTCTGTCTAACACATTTATATTTAAGATTTCTTTTCAATTGCTGTATTCAGAGAATTATTTTGCAGTCATTCAAAAAACAAAATATATGCCCTGCTGAGGTACACATTCATTCTTATGCTCTCTCCACACTATCATATTGTATGTGAAAAATTTGTGTGATGTGCCCATATATGGTCATGATGTCATATTACACCCAAATATGGGCATATCACATTTATTTTTCAAATAAAATTTGATAGTGTTGAGCATAACTTCAAAGGTTCGAAGTTGCTATTGGAAACAGCATCAATTACAATGGCATAGTCAAATTGAATATGGCACCAAATCGCATCTGGTTTCAAATGACTTAGAATGACAATGAGTAAGACTTTTGCGGAGTCTTCATCTGTAGCTATCCCTCATAAAATTTAGGTAATTTGTCACCATATATTTTTCGTCTTTCTACGCCGTCTTTTGAAATGCAAGCTAGACGAACAACACCTCCGCTTGATCCATCCCTGAACATTGCAAGCGCCAGTGCTATGAAGAAAAAAGACACAGATTTAACTGATAGTAGATAGAAATATTATTTGTACACTCCTCTTGCACTAGCTCATTACAAATTTCATTAGAGCTGCCAATTACAGGATAGAAATGATGCTCTGTAAACCCAGTTTCCTTTTGATCAGTGGCAGCACCAAAAAAGGTGGGGGGGGGGTGAGGGGGGGGGGGGGGGGGTAGGGAGTGCATTTTGCCCATTGGACAGGCCTGGACCCCCCTGTCGTCCAATGCCACGACAAGGTTGCTGGATGAAAATTTAAACAATTATAATTTGCCTATCCAAATAATATTATTTTGATTGACAATTGTGGTCTACAAGCACAATCGGGACCATACTAAGCCCTAAACAATTTGTAACTATTCAAATACTCAAAGGCAGTAGAAAAAGATACTGAATTCATAATGATCGACAACAACTCACCATTGCTAACAAAAGTGATGCACTCCTCCTTCGTCATATTTTCCTTGTATGTGGCATCAACATGACCATAGATGTAAGTACTACCTGAACCACCAATGCTGAATGGCTGGCGTACCATCATACCACCCAATGGTATAGTATACACCTGCAGAGATCAATCAAACAATAAAAATAAAAATGACAAAGCATAGCAACAATTGTGTTCATATCGATTTACAAAATATTACACTCGGGCGAGTACTAAATGTTAAACAGAGTTCCTGGGATATTCCTACCAAAGCCAGTGTTGTATCACGTCAGTGGATTTTAGAATTGATGCATAGACACAGTGAAAATATGCATGACACCACGTTAAAAGATAACCTATGTTATTCAGGCAACTAAACAATATTTGTAAAAAATGAAGTGTCACAGAAAAGGTAATGTAATTAGTATTTGAATGTGCTAAGATTTCTGGGAAAAAATATACTTAAATGCAATTGTTGCAAAATCATTCCCCCTGAGTAATAATTTTGCATTATATTTATAGAAAAAAAAAAAAAACGAGATCAAATATTTAAGAATACCTGGCCACCGTTTTCTTCATCCCATCCCGCAACAATGATGCCGGCCAGTAGCTGTTCTCGGTAATCAAAGCAAAGATTTTTAAAAAGGGTTGCGGCAGTCTTCACCAGGGGGGCAGTACCCAAGTCAATACTGTAATAGCACATAAATGCATATTAACAGAATATCAATGGAACATAAATAAATAGTAACAGAATATCAATAGATATAGTAATAAAAATAATGTACAGTATTAGTTAAAACCATACATTTATTTTATGTAACTGAAAATTAAACAAGACCAACAAATACATTTAATTTATTCTAACATAAGAATAAAAATTAAAAAAAACATTAGACATCTTCAAATTTAATAACTTAATCATAAGAATGAATACCATGATTAAAGTAGATATATAAGGTACATGAAATGATTAGATACACTAGAAAGCTATGAAAACCACGGTTTGAATGCGGAGGCGCCAAAATGACTGCTTTGGTAGTTGCGACGTAGTAACATGGGATATCACATGATTTTTTAACTTCATCAATGCAGAACTCTATTTGAACATAGGAACATTTAACACAATTTACAGATGAACAATGAAGAATTACACCCCTTTCCAACTCCCATTCTCACCTGTGAAAATCAAGATGGTAGGCTGCAATATCTGCCACAGCTTGAGTGTCTGCAGCTGACCCTGACCTACAACAGTAGATTCGATCATGCACCTTCGTCAACTTGTCTGTTACTCTGTTTGCAACGTATGCTCTATAAAAATGTAATGGAATACAATTTGTTAGTTACCATTTCCAGCTGAGGATAAATGTCTGATATTCAGTGCATAGCATACCCTTTGGAAAAGATGGTGCTGAATTGTTTGTGCTCAATCAATGGACATTTCTGAGATGCAAATCAAACATAACTACTGTACGATGTATCTTACTCTGTTATACAATCAAATGTTATATTTTAGGAAGCGAGTTCTCAACTCAAACCAGACGTACCCTGTTGTAGTTCTGGAATCAGCACCAATTACTACACCATCTGCATATTCTACAGCCATAATAGACGTCTGAAATACAAACAAGCATACACATTTTAGTGTTGGCGCATAGGCATAGGCCTATTTAAAAACAACAGAATGCAAATTTATTTTAAATTTATTTATCTTGTGCATCAACATTCGGAAGAGACGTTTAACAAGTCATTGATTGGTCCCAGGTGCAGAATGGCTCATGGGCATAGAATGCAGTATTCTTTGGAAAAATGTAGGGAAACCCTCTCCGGCCCAGTGTAGCCTCCACCGGGCAACATGCTGTACTTTACTCCTTCACTACCCTCGTGCGTGTCCCCTCCCTACCTAGGCCTACTTCACGTAGGATTGACTCTTAACCTAGCCTCTACACCTCCTATTAATTTATGATAGCTTAGCTTTAGGCCTGGGGCCTCTAGACTCAGGCTAGTATTACTACTAGGGCCTAGGTAGGCCCACAGGCTAGGACAGGGCTAGGCTCTAGGCCTAGACACACGGTAGGTCTAGCGTAGGCCATAGAGAGCCTCCCTAGCTAGGCCGCCTAGCCTAGGTAGAGTAGCGGCAAGGCTTCGTTTCGTACGAAAATCTTTTGCTCTTTAATACCAATTTACAACAAAATTACATAGGTACTTACCCCTGTTGACTCTGCGACTCCATACCAATCTGGTTTAGACCTAGACATGAACTCCATGTTTATAAGATAAAAACTAAAGAGACCTTTCTGTCAGCAAAGTGACTTGCAACAAATCTTTTAAGACGATTACTGAAAATGTGATCGATTTTGTGGAATTATAGCGGTCCAACGCGGTATTCTCATTAAGAGCGAGAGCTCCGTCCAATAATTTCATTCTATCTTTGAGTTGGATAGATATGATGATCATAGGTTGATACTTGCATACTAATTTTAATAATAATGATAATAATAATAATAATAATACAGTAATAGAATTTATAAAGCGTCAATTAAACGACCGAGGTGCATTATCAAAGGCGCTGTTCATGTTAATGATGAAAAAGGTGAGTTTTAAGTAATTTTTAAAATGAAGCAACAGAATGTCTGAACAGTTTTTAATGTGTGCAGGAGTGAATTCACAATATGAAAACTACAATACAGTATTTACAAAAGCTTTTTAGTTCCTATTTTTCATGCAATTTTTATTTTTTACACTGATCTATTCGTAAACTCTCCATTTTAGATTTTTATGAATTGTATAAATTATGTATCATTTTCTTGTTGACTTACATTTTACACTGATCTTTTGTAAGCTCTTCATTTCAACCATGTGTTTTGAGTATTTTTACACCAATTAAACAAAACAAAATAAATTCATTTGCTGAGTTTAGATTTTTTCTTTTGCTATATTTACATACAACTTCATTATTTTTATTGTTTTTATTATTAATTTTATATATTTTAATGGGGAAAATGTTCAATTAACAGTGGCAATTTCTATTTAAAATTATTTTTATATTTTCAGTGGCAATTTTTTATTTCTGTTATTCATTTTTACAATTTTTCTTATTCCTTTATTGTCATCGTAATTGTTTTCCTATATTTCCAGAGGTTTTCCATCTCCTTTTACAAATTTTATTGTTTAGGTGTTTGAAATGTATTTTTTATATCTACATTTCTTTTTTTATATTTTAATTGCAAGAAGCGAGCCATTGTAGAGGTGTTTGCCACATGTTGGCTTGTCTCCGCCACTTTCTGTATTTTTTTTAGGTGAGAAGTTTATTAAATAAAAAAATAAACGAATTGTATATACTGTTTTCTTGCAGACTTACATGACTTATTTTTTACACTGATCTTTTTTTTGTAAACTTTTCAGGTATGAGGGTCTGCTCTTATTAACGAAAGAAAAGAGTTACAATGTGAATTAAAATTTATATACCTTCTGTGAGAAATGAAAAAAAAAAAAAAATCCTTCAGATGTAATTAAAACATTAAATAGTTCATTATTAGAGATCAATTTGGGTGTAATTATTATGACATCAGCATTCCCATATGGGCTTTTCACACAAAATTGTCTCATGAAAAGTCTAATACTGCGTAACAGACAAGCTTTATA